TCCCTACATGTGCACCGCTGTCTGGTGCAAATATAGCTCTGAAACTGTAGTGTGGCTACAAGAAAAAGCTCACTAGAGCCCAGTGAGAAGTCTTTACTGAACTGAGTTCAGAGTGAGAACTGCTGCATGTCATTGGCATCAAACAGGTGGCAGACAGAGATGCTTAAAGGTGAGGTTGTGCAACAATTTTGCACACCCAAAAGAAACCTCTCAAGGTTCCCTCTCTCAAGGGATCATCTCTCACTTTTCATCCCATCCCAGAAGAAAAGAGGCTCAGATACTCCTCTTCACATCATGTCTTTTTCCCTTTGGAAGAGAAGAATGTGGGTGCCTTTCTCATATACACTGAGAAAATCCAAGAGAGATCCTAGCAAAGCAAAATCAAGGCCCTGCTTCCTCAGTCAAAGCAGCAGCTGGTTAATCTCAGGTTTTGTAGTAGGAGACAAGTTATCTCACCAAGAGGAGATCCCAGCTCCAGATAGGGGTTGTGGTTGTCACAAGAAGGGTTATCACAGCACAGACAGGAGCAGCTTGGTAGCTAAACCCCTGTCCAGCAGAAAGAAAAACATGGCAAATGAATGGGACAAGGCTGCTCCTTTGCTGGGGCCATACAATGTTGTCTACAGCCCACTGGATGCAGAGTCACCGATGCTGCCGAGCTCTTTGCACCTTCCCATAGCCAGCAAGGGTCATCCTTAAGCTGGCAGGAGCCTGTGTGGGGTGCGAGCATTGCCACGGAGGAGCGGAAGAGCTGGAGGGAGGGGGAGGGTTCATCTCCTGTCCCACAGGGAAATAGCCACCACCGAGAAACACTGCCCCAATTGTTCCACTGGCTGCAGCCAACGTCCAACCTGAGGCGGGGGAAGGGTACCACAGAAAACAGCCAGAAAAGGGTGTTTATTTGCCCTGCCTCCAGGTGGCTGGTTCTTACTGACCCCAGGGGAAAGAGGTGATAGGGGAGGGATTTCTCACTTTCCTCCAGAGTGAGAATACAGGATGCCAGTGGCCAGGCTGTAGGGAGCGAGATGCCAGGGGCTGGAGGTCTTGCTAGCACTTCAGTGGACAACAACCCAAATAAGGTGAACAGGAAGCCCCTCAGGGCACCCGGAGGGAGCTTCACCACCCGCTTAGCTCATACCCTAAAACACAGCAGGGTCTTGGCAGGCTCGATCCCAATGGGACAGTGAGGGGTGGAGCTCATTCATGTTTCCTCAGTGTGTCCCAGGGAGCTGGGTGAGAAGAAGGGTGTCTGACTCCCCTCCCAAACATGAGAAGAAAGGGAGCAAACCAAGAAGTGATTTCAGTAACCCATGGGGCTCTGGACTATTGTTTGACCCATTGTCCACCATCCCCACTGAGGCAGCTACCACCCGCCAGACATGAGCCAGGTCCCTGTCGTGCCTGCTGCTGGAAGAGGTGTGGGTGCCTCAATTTTACAGGGACATACTGAAAAAGTTGGGCATGACTCAAAGGAGTGCATACCTTCTACATAGTTTCTGCCAATATGCAATCTCGGGGTCTCCTCATATTTGAATGGCAGAGAAAGGTTTTTTTCCTTCATTCTGCCTTTTTCCAGTTCCCTCTCTTTCTTCTTTTCATCTCCTTCTCCTTCTCTATGAATTCTCTTTCCTTGTAGCCCTTTTTTTCTCGTTTCCAACCCCCCTTGTAGGGCTGACTGCAGGCCAATGCCTGTATACCCTTTTCCAAGTCTTTTCTGTCCGTGTTTTGTCATTTTTCTTGTGCTATGAAGAGGTAAGGACAGGAGAGCCATGGAAGAATATGCCTCTACTGCAATGAGGAAAAGTGTGACACTTTCTCTTCAGTTCAGATGAGAAGATAGAAAGAGAAATGACAGAGAAGAGACCATCTCTGTCCCAGGAATCACTGTGGGTGGCATGTCTCTTCCTCCAGTGTCCTCTAGGAGCCCTTCTGAGAGACAAGGGCCTTCCAAGAGCCACTA